TTGGGGAAGTGCTCACAGGCTTTCATTAACAGCAGACTCAAGAATCATATTACATGGAGTTGAGCTCATTGATGTGTCAGCTATAGAGAGAGTTTAGTGTGGCCCTTGAGAGCATCTCATAGGGGCGAGGCCTGACCATCTTTTCAGGGAACTACAAGACAAGCCCAAACACCACCTGGGGAGGGTAACCCAGAATTCTTGGAGGATGCCATAACTGTTTGTATTAAAAGGTTAATATGCTCAATGCTTAAGTATTAAATTTCCTTAGTAGATAAACATCTTTAAAATCACTTTTGATATTAAAAATGATCAACGTATTGTTTCCAACTCAAAATCTAGTTTTTTTCCAAGGAAAAGTTAGAACTTAGAAAAAAATTTAAGAGAATCAGAACTATAGCATTACTGTTTCTGTGTTTAAGAAAAACCTATACATTTTGTTATTTTAGGTGTTTATTACATTTAGGAGAACTTGGCTTAATAACGAGTTCTGTGATGCAAGTTCAAAATGTGTATTTGAGTTATTGATTTAAATCTGTGATTTTAGCTTGAAATGTTATGAAATTTAAAAGCAATATTAGAAAATTTAGGAAACTGAAGTTTATTCATGTATTTACAAATTTAATCTATTAGCTTCATAAACATTACTTGGGAAGGTTTATTACACAATTGAAGCATGTAAAAAAGGAATGGAATACATTACAATTTTCAGTGCTGTTTAACATACTAAAGAGAGTCTAATCAACTACATTGATAGTGGGAACAAACATTAATTAAAGATCCCTCAAGAATGGTTATTCAAACTTGGCAGATTCAAAAATACAATAATATGATTAGTAACTTGAATGTGAAAGCTTAGAAAAACTAGATTTTGAGTTGGAAACGATACGTTGATCATTTTTAATATCGAAAGTGATTTTAAATATTATTTGTGTATAAAAGCTGATGTGAGGAAAAGTAAAAACATTTATTGACATTTAATAGCTAACCTTACTACTTTCAAGTAGTCAGGAGCTACCCCCAAATCAGGATTCACATATGTAAGTGAACAAGGTGGATAAAATGGCTCTTCACGTAACAGAGTTAGCTGGAAGGACAAATATCTGTAGCAACTGAGGATGTAGATTTCTAGAAGTTTGTTACTGCTTCTAATAAGCAAATATTCTGAAATAATTGAGGCTGAGTCTTAGTGTGTCTTGCCATACTACCAAGACATCTTTTTTTAAAATGATAAGAAAATAATAATTTGTTTAAACCACGCAGTAACCTATATAAGCACTATGATTCTCCTCATTGCCCAAATCAGGAAGGAGAGGTGCAGGATGTTTACATGACTTGCTTAAGTACACAACAAGCAAAGACTGGAACTGAGATTAACCCTCAGAACTCCAGAGAATAAGATATTAATTGTCTGGCTTAACATTTCTTGTTATGTAGAATCTGAAGTAAAAATACAGAAGTAGCTGATGAATTATTGAACAACTGGAAACTCCACCTGGGCAAAGTTGTGGGGGTCACTGAAGTTCAGTCCTAGTTCTCAGCTTAACCTTTCAGTGTCGTTTCTCTTAATTCTTTCAAATCTGTCATCCTTTACCTGCACAAGAAGGTTAAGTCTGTGATCTGACCACCTATTGTTTGTTAAATGTTTCCGTTTTCAGGTGTTTCAATGTTTATTTCAATTATCACTTTCATTTGTCCTCTCATCTCCAGTCGTGGCTTTTGCCTCAATATTGAAGTAATTCTGGCCTTTAGGAAGCAGGTGGATAGATATTTGTGAAGCAAAAGTGTTCCTAAAGTTTTAGATAATCCCTTGTTTCCTGCTAGACACTGTTCTAGCTAGTTAGACATTGACTATGATTTTACCATGGCTATCCACCTAATGACCTTATTGTTTTGATTACTGTACCATGGCAACAAATAAAAGACACATCATCTTTCTATTTCTTAAATGGTGGGACAGAGGAATAGTTGTGCTTTCATCTCAAGAAGCAGGAATGGAAACAGTTCTGTAGTTGGTGACAAAATGTCTAGTGCAAGCAGGTTTGAAATCAGTACTTTCAATAGGAGGTACCTGTGGCGGGTGGTCTCCAAGATGGCCCCAACGATGTCTTCTTCCTAGTAGTCATACTTTTGTGTAATCTCTCCTTCAGTGTGGGCTGGACCTAGTGTTATGCTTCCAACCAACAGAACACAGCAAAAGTGATTGGATGTCACTTTTGCTATTAGCTTACAAAAGATTGTTACAAAATATTTACAGTGTCTCTCTCTGACTCATCTCATGTGCTGACTATTGAAGCAAATTAGAGAGGCCAACATAGCAAGGAACTGAGGATGGCTTCTGGTCAACTGCTAGCAAGGACCTGAGGCTCTCAGTCCAACAGCCCTTGTGGACGTGAATCTTGCCGACCACCACCTGAGAGAGCTTGGAAGTGGATTCTTCCCCATCAAGACTTCAGATGGGACAAGCTGATAGTTATGCCACTTGTTCAGATCCTAACCTACATTTTCCTTTATTGGATTTTTCCTACTGCAAGTTGTATTTATAATTAATCATCATGATCTGAATGGGTTATTCCCACCTACAGTTACTGCTACACAAATATAAAAAATGCCCTACCTTAACATAAACCAATTTTTGCCCAGTTATCATTGTGATTATTGTTGTCATCATGTTTATCATTTCTATGGAAAGAGCAATAAACAATGCAGCATGTTGTTGTTGTTTTTTTCTAGTTCCAACTTAAGTCGGAAAAAGCTTTCATTTCCTTTGCCATTGCCAATTAGTCAGTAGTGGTGGCTGGAACTCAGTGTTAAGAAGGATCCTGAGGGCAAGTCTGGCTGTTGGAAAAGAACTGTGATCAATTAAAGGTTACTTGGGAGTAGAGTATACCTGCCAAGGATTTCTGTTGTTTTTCTCTAGTAAATGTCAGTCCTGACATAGGCTCCTAGGTAGGATAACCAACTCCTTATGGTTTGTCTGAAACTTTCCTGGATTTGGCATTTAAAATCCTGCATCCTGGCAACCCCCTCAATCTCAGGCAAACGAATTGTTGATCACCCTATACCAAGGTATGTTTCTGGAAGTCAAGTAGACTGGGAATTGGGTGTACTGTCATGCAGTGGTATCAGTATTCCTTGGGAGCTTATTTGCAATGCAGAATCTCAGGCCCCACCCCAGACCTACTGAGGCAGAATCTGCACTTTTACAAGATCCCCGGGGATTCGTGCACATTAAAGTGTAAGTAGCTGCACCCAGGATCAATCACATTACACGTGACACAATCTCATGGACACACCGCACGCTCTGCAGAAGTGCACAGGCAGCGGCACACGTCTCCCCCACTCAAGAATCTCATAAAAATGAGAGGAGCATGAGGCTGTTACACAGCAATTCGAAACTGCTAATATTTTAGTAACAGCGATATTTGGGGGCTCTGTAGAGAAGTGCCACTTTAAACTTGCTCCAACAGCACGAGACTGAGAAGGGAGGTACATTTGTCCTCTCTTGCTCCGTGTTCACCCTTCGGTCATGTGGCCAAGTGGCATTCTGTCCTAACATTCCCTTATAGATGCTGGGGGGTGGGGGGGGGGAATGGAGGCGAGATTTGTAGGGAAGCTCTGAAGTCTTCTAGACCAGTGGATGTCAAACTAGAGCATGCATCAGATTCACCTGGAAGGATTAGAAAAGAGCAGATTGGTGGGGCGTGAGAGCTGCAGCTACGGCAGCACGCAGGGCGAGCGGCTTCTCTGAGCAGCGGTTAAGAGGAACTCATAGAAGAGAAAGACAAGCTGGAATAGCTCACATCGAAAAGGAGCACCAGTGTGGGAAGGTGGGGAGGAGGTGGAAGCCGCGAGTCCCGGACGCCAGCGTGGGGCGCCCCAGTTCTCACGCGCTGCCTATCCAGGAAGAGGCAGCGGGGGCCGGGGGCGGGGAGAGTGCGTCAGGAGCCTCCCGGAAAGCGTCAGCGCTGGCTGGCGGGGCGGGGCTCCCGGAAGCCGGCTCCGTGCCAGCGGAGCCCGAGCTACTGGAGGCGGGCCACACTCACGAGCTCTGGTGGCGAAGTGGCTTTTAGTAATAGTTACCATTTTATGACGTTACGTTGAGTTTTCCTGGGGTCTGTCTTTTCCTATTGTAACGGACCTCCGAGCGGGGAGAAAACGCGGAAGCCTTTGGCAACTCCGCCCCCGAACAGCGCATGCGCGGCGCTGGCAGAGCAGGCGGGGCACCTTATACGGGGCGCGTGGGGGTGGGGCGGGCCGTGCCGCGCCGACACGGAGCCCACGTACTCCCGGCCCGCGCGTCGTTTCGTCACTGGTGAGCCTGCGCAGAAAACGTGGGAAAGGCGTGAGTGCTGGTGTCCCTCAGATCTGTGGAGGCGGTTTAAACCTTCCTGATTGGGCACGGAAAAAACCGGAGTCAGCAAGACACCGTGTTAAAGGGAAAGAAGGATGAAGAGGGGACTGGTGCGGCCTGGTGCCGACCAGAGTTCCTCCCTAGCCGCTGTGAATAAACGGAGATGAGCTGTTGCAGGCTTGCTTTGCTCCCCGCCCGCTTTCCCAGCCCAGCTCCCAAGTCAAGCCGTTTCCTTCTCGGCCAAGTGAATTTCCCGGCGCCGCCCCTGCGGGTGGCCGACAGGGGCCCGGAGCCGCCCAATGTTCTATGCAGGCACGTTGACTCACATTCGCGCCATCACTTAAAACATAACTCGGAAATGCTGAACCAAAGAGCCTTTTTTGATACAAGTTTTAGGGGACCAAGACTCCAACAGTAGCTGCGCATATAATAATGCTTTTTAGTTGTAGCGCTACAATAGTTGAAGAGTAGTTTTTATTCTCAGGGACAGGTGGTTCCTCAATACGGTGTTAAATATCTGGGTCTTAACTGAGTTAGTTTTAGCGATTGAACAATAATTTTTAGAAGACCCTAGTAACTGACATGTATAGATCAACTTAATGAGAAACATCCATATAGCGTTATAACATTCACTTCTCTGTATTCTCAACAGCTATTTGTAAAAAGCAGAGCGATCCTTTTGAGAAGTACTGTTGAGGTAAAAATATTTTGTTCTTCATGATTTAAGAATTCAAAGTTTGGAGGGGAAACCCTTGGAAGATTTAATAAATATATTCAACAGAAGTGATTTTTAAATATTACACTGAATACAGACAATTGGAAGATACAGTCTTCAAAAACTTGTACTTAAGAATTTTGGCAGCTGCAACTGAGGACTTTCTGCCACCTTTGGTAGTGATTTAACTTGCCATCAGGCATCCCCAGACTCCACAAAGTGTAAAGTTAGGAGCAAAATCTCAAATGAGGATTTCATAGGAAAAGAATTGGGTGTGATTGCTCTGGAGATCGCTGCTGCTGCTGCTGAATTGTAAACTGCTCAGGTTTACTACTAAGTGCAAATTTCTTACACCAAATATCTTTCTACCTGTCGTGTAGATATGTTTGATTACTTGATTAATTTATGTGGAACTGCTTTAAAACAAGAACACTACATACATTTTTATACTTGTAGTTGGAGTGAATGATTCCATCGGCATTATTGCCAGCAAACTGATTAAACTGAGAAAATTGGGGCACACTGAGAGACTATTTAGAGGACTAGTAACAGGATTAAGGAGGTACTGCTTCTATGTATGGAAAAGTCTTTGGAGTGCTTAAACTATTCTCAGCCTTCAAATCATTGGAATTGTATAGGCATCATTTGAAGAGTGGAAGTTTAAAAGGTTTATTAGTCTATACAGGTTAAATTCTGAAAAATATTTGCTTTGTATCTAAATATTTTACATTTGTTTAAAAACCCTGATATTCTTTCAGTCGGTTTTCTAGACTTTTACCAAGAAGGACAGTCTTCAAGAACCTAATACATTCCTCAATGGGGAAAAAAGGCTTAGAGCTACGTGAGATAAGCTCAAAGTGTTCTAAAGAACTGTATTAGGGTTTGGAAAAAGATCAGTAAGTGAATGCTGATGTACATTACCCACCTATCCTATGAACTACAGGATGCTTTTGGCTAATGGATTATAAGCTAACATCCAAAATTCTTCACATATATTTAAATAATGGCAAATAATGTAATTTCCAGTGCATTTTAAAATGCCATTTTACAATAATTGTTACTCTTTGAAACATATGCAGTGGAATTAAATATTATAATATTTTGGTACCCATTATCCACACTTAAAATGTTTTACATTGAATGGCTATTCTATCACTTAACAGTAGTGGTTCTAGGGGACTGGTACCTCCTAGGGGACACTTAGCCATGTCTGGAGATATTTTTGGTGTCATAACTAGTTAGTGGGGGCTACTGGCATCTAGTGGGAAGAGGCCAGGGATATTGCACAACATGCTACATTGCAGAAGGCAGCCTGCGACAGCAAAGACTGAGCCAGCCCCAAGTGCCAATAGTGCTGTGCTATTGAGAAAGCCTGACCTAAAGAATTCTCTTCTTACAGAGCATGGTTTTAGGCATGAATGTTGTATTGGTTATCATTCTTTCCTGCAGCCAAAAAAAATGCATATTTAAATTTATTGCATATGTTATCATAATGTTCTAAATGTTGAGTCAATTCAGAGAAAAAAATATTTTTATCATTACAGGTGTCCCCTTCTTTTAGGAAGTTCATATTACACCACTTTGCTTTTCTGAAAGACCTCCACTGGTACCCGTTTTCACTAAGTGAAAGAAATTGAAGAGGATTTTCCCTTTTACAAAAAAAAGGAGAAAGGTGAAAATAGCATTCAGTTCCATGAGAGTGGTGCCACCAACCTCCTTCCCTGGGAACTACACTCTGCATGAAGCCCCCAGAGCTTTGAATTGTTTGTAAGCATCGGTGCTTTGTGTCTATTTATCTTGTGCATCCATTAGCAAGATTTGTCTGAAGTTATCACGAAAGCCAAAGAGAGGTGATTTTATTTTTGCATGTGGGAATGCTCAAAATATTTTCCACATAAAAATTGTCATTGCTTCTTCCCTTTTCACCAGTTCACCTTATGAAAGGTTTCATAGGAATGCTGAACTTTTGAATAGCAGGGGAGACCTGTACAACTACTGTTAGTATACAGCTGATCAAAATATAAATATCACATTTTGATTAATTATAAAAAGTGTGTTTTATTGAAACGTGTTTCTTAAAGAGATTGGGCTTTTTATCATTTAGCTTAAGTTTCTGTGGATGAATATTATTTATTCTAAGAGCCTGGCAGAATTCAGCATCAATTCTTTTTCTCTTTTTCATTTTTAGAGATATAAAGGCCAAACAGTTGAGAGAAATAAAAAGAATGTTAATATAGCAATGTCATTCAATTCTTCTTATTCTTTCTGAGTTATATGCCAAAAGTCATTTACTGACAGTGATCTATCAGAATATTCTTAATGACATATCTGTTAGGTTCTCCAGCTTAGTTTGGTTCACAAACAATGCATTAGACTCCCAGCTTGGAAAATGAATCCTTATCTAGTCATTGATTTTCTCAGTATTGACTGTTTAGTGTCCTGGCAGTTATGTCCCAGAATGATACACCATAGTAAGATTCACTTGTGCTGTGTTAACTACACAGTGTCTGATTTAAGTGGTTGTTTATTAGTAGTTGTTGGATGGGTGGGTAGATGAATAATTGAAGAAATGAGCACTTTAGGATTAAATATTACTATAATAATCCAAGCTGGAAATGATGGGTGATAGCAGGGAAGCTGTTGAGAACATTCTGGGATATATTCAGAAAACAGACCTAACAGAATTTACTTGAGATATGGATGTGAGAGAAAGGGAAGCATCAGCTATCACCACATGGTTTTTGTCTTAAACTACTAGAAAAGTTACCATTTACTGAGATGGGGGAGACTGAGAAGGCAAGAATGAGCAAGATACAAGTACAGTTCTCCGTTTTCATTTTCTTAATGCCACTCTGTGTTTCTAAGTTTAATTTAGCTCTTGAAACCTGTAGTTATCTCTCAGAATATAAATAATGTATATTACTTTCAGTCTAATTAGAAGACCTACACAGTCATTTTCCCACAAAATGATAGGGTCTTTTTCTTGGTTTCTTACTCCAGTGCCTAAAAATCAAACACTTGACAATGTTAGTTGTCTGATTTATGTATGTTAGATGTACCATAAAGACAGGTTTTATAGTTAAAAGCTGTTCAGTGTTTTAATAGAATTTTTGAACAGTTTCTTTTTTTTGTATTTTAGTCAGTTACTCTGTACAGAGATATATTTTTAAGACAGGTTTAATACCAAATAGTTGTCTCCATTGGATATAAAAATAGACTTCTCAAATTCATGAATACCAAAATCATGATTTTGCTTGAATTAACTGAATCATACAGTTTTCTGCGTTAATAACACTATTGCAAATTAACTCAAATGCAACTGCAACTTACAATACATGATTTATATTAGTTCAGATTAATATGCAGTGTTACATAGTTTTCCACTTTGGCTAGTCTAATCTAGAGAGACACATTTTTCTCTTAGTAAATTTTTAATACTTCTGATTGTTTCCCAGTTTGTTTCAACACAGAAAATAATATATGCAAAGACAAAAAAATTAACATTTCAATGTTACTTTCATACCCAGTTGTTAAGGTCTTTTGAAAAGTTAACCTAAAATGTGTACACCTGTGTAAATTAACATTATTATTATCTCTTTTATAGGTTGGCATAAGTACTAAAAGTGGCTCTTACTCAATTCCACCCAAGTACAAGAGTTTGAGGGTGTGGGTTCTCAGAGTCTGGTGGATGAGACAGATGCATACCTATCAAGTTTATTGCATGTAGTGATAAATATTGAGATGTAAGCAAATATTAAAGGAGTATAAATGAGGGAGAAATTCCTGTTGCTACAGATATTATCTTTGCACTGATAGCACCCTTTTTAGGAGAGGAGGTTGTGTGCACTAGGATAATTTGGCTTCTTTCTCCTTTGACAGCCTGTTTTCCTCTTAAGCATCAGACCCTATGTCTCCTACCTGTCTGCATCAGCTGGATCATGCAAATAATGCTCCTGCCACCTTTGCTGGCTAGTGGCAGCTGCAGCCTACTGCTCTTCTCTCTAAGCAAGCATGCCAGAAAGCTCGGAGAACTGCAGCTGCGCTTTCCAGAAAAGCATCCTCTGGGTAGCTAGAGCTCCGACTTCTTGCTAAGTAAGGTATCTTTACTAGAATACCTTCATGGAAACCATATTATAGGTAAAAGACCTGCTGCGGCCTTCAGCCTAATGGCTATGCCATTTGTGAAGATTGCCTGCAGCTGGGGAAGCCATTTACATCTTGTACTTGGGTATCACACAATGTGTATTTAGTGTTCAAAATTATATGGTTGCGATATGTCAATTTTTTTTCCTTACAAAAGTACTAAGGTAAATAGATTAGCATGTATAGTGCATGGGGGGCACTGGGAGGGCTGCACAACACAGAGAAGACAAGTAGTGATTTTACCGCATCTTACTACGCAGATGGACAGTGACTGTGAAGGGGTATATGGGGAGGACTTGGTGAATGGGGGAACCTAGTAAACATAATGTTCTTTCTGTAATTGTAGATTAATGATACCAAAATAAAAAAAATTTTTTTAAAGTACTAAGGTAAATAAGAATTCCCATTTTGAACAACTAAAGATTCTGGTCACCAAAAAAAGGAACAGATTGGGGATCCCGTCCCCAGAGTTCCTGATTCTGTAGGTTGATCATGGGACATGAATATCTGCATTTCTTGCAGATTCTCAGATGACCCTTGCTCAGTGTGGTCCGTGGGGCAGTGGCAGCAGCATCACCTGGTAGTCTGTATCAGAATCTGCATTTAACATGACGGCAAGTTTTACGTGCACCATGAGCCCGCAGACCACAGACTGTGAGTGGTAAGAGTCAGATAGCCACAAGAGGTTAATTTTCTTGTTTCAGACTGGTTAGAGGTGATGGTAGCCTTTAGAGCTATCTCCCTGCTCTTGACTTTCTGGTTGGTGCAGCACTGTGCCTGCCAGTCTCTGACATGCTTTATGCTGTCCCCTGCCTCAGTATGATCTGCCTGCCTTTGAATAGTCCTCTGTACACCCCTGAAGGGAAATAGTATTTGACTCTACTCTGCAATATTAGTTTTGAAAAATGTAAAGAGGACGAATGCCTAAATGTCTGCCAGCCTTCCTGCTTCCCTGCAGGTGGTGACCCACTCACTCCCTTCAACTCCCTGGAGGGGCTAGCTCTGACCCCTCATTTTTCCCTCAGCATCCTCTAGCATATATGAGTAAGGCCAAAGCACCAGCTCTGCAGAACACTTAACAGGAAGGCTCCAGAAAAATGAATGGCAGTTATATGTATGTGCCACGTACAGTTAAGGGTTATTTGGCAAGAATTGCTGGCCAGCTTGACGGGTCAGAACTGCACCTAGAGTTCCTGGACCAAAGGGAATCTCAAAGTGCTCACAAAGATCGAGGATGGCAGCATTGCAATAGATCTTAATGTACTAGTCTGGCATCTGTGAGGCTGACATTTAGCAAATCCTTCTCTTTTTTTGCCCCCATCAGCTACCATTCTTTTGTCTGCAAAAGATTACAAAAGTGATACAGCAATCCAAAAGGTTGGGGAAGTAGAATAAAACATATTCACCCACTGTCCCACCACCCTATTATATATAGTTACATCTTAGTATAGTTTCTCTATCTGTTGAAAGCCATATGTGATAGGCAAGATAATGGCCCCTCAAACATGTCCATGTCCTAATCCCCTGAAACGGGTCATTTATTAGGTTATGTGAAAAATTGGAAATTACCACTGCAGATGGAACTAAGATTGCTGATTGGCAACCCTGAATAGGGATTATACTGGATTTTCTGGGTGGGCCCAGTGTAATCACAGCGGTCCTTAAAAGTGGAAGAGAGAAGATTCAGAAAGAAGTGTGACCATGGAAAGAAGTCAGAGTGATGTGATGTGAGGGCTCCAATGGCCTTGGCTGAATTTGAAGATGGAGGAAAGGGCCACGGGCCAAGGAATATGCTTGCTCTCCAGAGGCTGCAGAAGGCCAGGAAATGGGTTCTCCCATACAGCTCAGTCAAACCTGTGTTGAACTTCTAACCTCCAAAATTGCAATAAATATGTGTCATTGTAAGCAGCTAGGTTTGTGGTAATTTGTTACAGCAGCTATAGAAAAGTAATACACTGTATTTTTCATAGGTACATCATGCCTAAATATTTTTTAATGTTGCTATAGTTTTATAGTTATTTGAATAGCCATATATTATTTCATATAACTGAAGTACTGTCATTCCTTCACCATACCCTCACTCGAACATTAGATATGTGAATAGCTCTCTGCATTTTCCTTTTTTCATTAAGTTTTACTATGGTCTAAGGATTTTCTACCAGAAATTAAATTTAGACTTTGAATTTCTTTTATTTTTTCTATATTTAACTTTTACTTTAATCTCTTAAGTCCAGTATAAATTTAACTTTATATATGACACTATGTAAGTGTATATTTTTCCTAATCCATTTTTTCAATAGCATATGCTAAATGATTTTTACACGTTTAAAAAATACTACGTGCTTTAAATTTTTTAAAAACTATTTTTCAATTGGGGTATAATTGACATATTAGTTTTAGGCCTTATTGTACTTTTGCTTAATTTTTCTAATTGATTTTCTGCAGAGGAATTTTAATTTATTGTTTCCAGCTCCTAGAAAAATCCCATTGAGAATGTCTGGTGTCCCATTGCCTTGGCAGACATCTTCAAAACCCTTAGCCTTGCAGTCAAAGCCCTCAATTATGTGACCCCACTTTTCCTGTGTCCAGTTTTCTCAAACTTCAATTATAGTTAGGCCACTTCTTTCGTATCTTCCCTGTTGATTGTTTCCCACTTTACGAGTCTTTGCGTATTCTTCCCCCAGTCCAGCTTGCACTTCTCACAGTGAAATTATCTGTGATTTGTCTTACAAGCTTTTCCTCAGCAGCTTGGCGTATGAAGAATATGAGCCTTGGAATCAGACAGCCCTGGGTTTGAGTCCCAGCTCTGTTTCTCACTAGCTGTGTGGCCTTGAATGAGTCACTCATCCTTTTTAAGCATCAGTTTCCCCTTTAAAATGAGGAAACTGCATCTTCCTTGCAGGGGTGGCAGGTAGATTACAGATAATATATATTAAGAATCTAGCAAGATTCCTGGTACTTAGTAGACGATCAATGAATATCTCATGACTTTTCATCTCATGACTTTATTATTATCCTCATTAAACCATCACTTCCTTAAAAGTAAGGACAGTTTATTGTTCTTACCTGTATACCCCACGAAGCTTGGAGTATAACGGGTGCTATTTCAATCTCCTCCTCTTTCTCCCTGCCTTATTAAAATCCCATTCACTCTGCAAGGCTCTTGCTGCAGCCTCATCTCCTTTATGACTCATCCTCGCCACCTTCACTGTTCTTAGTCTAGGTGGGTGAGTGCAGTTGAATGATGTGAAATGGAGGATAAGGGAGGAAGATAATGGTTCACAGAGATGATCCCTTAGTTCTGTTCTAATTCTAACTTTATATAATTTGGGGATTTTATGAGCCGGGAGTTATTACTGAGCACTTGTTAACATGCCCACACTAGTGGAATGGCCAAAATCTGGAACATTGACAACACCAAATGCTGACAAGGATGTGGAGCAATTGGAACTCTCATTCACTGCTGGTAGGAATGTAAGACAGTCCAGCCACTTTGGAAGGCAGTTTTGTGGTTTCTTACAAAACTAAATATACTCTTATCATATAATCCAGCAATTATACTTTGTATTTACACAAAGGAGTTGAAAACTTATGTCCACATGAAAACCTGCACACAGATGTTTATAGCAGCTTTATCATAGTTGCCGAAACTTGGAAACAATCAAGATGCCTTTCAATAGATGAATGGATAAATAAAAGGGGTATGTCCAGACAATGGAATATTATCCAACCCTGAAAAGAAATGAACTATCAAGCCAAGCAAAAGCATGGATGAACCTTAAATGCATATTACTAAGTGAAAGAAACCAATGTGAAAAGACTACATACTGTGTGACTCCAACTATATGACATTCTGGAAAATGCAAACTGGAGATATAAAAAGATCAGTGTTTGGCAGGGGTTGGGTATGGGCTGGTGGCATGAATAGAGCACAGAGGGTTTTTAGAACAGGGAAAATGACTTTGTATGGTGCTGCAATGATGGATACATATCATTATACATTCATCAAAACCCACAGAATGTACAACACTGAGAGTGACCCTAATATAAATTACGGACTCTGGATGGGTAATGATGATGTACCAGTGTAGGTTCATCAGTTGTAACACATGTTCCACTCTAGTGGGGTTATTGATAATGCGGGAGGCTGTGCATGTGTGAGGGCAGGGGCTGTACAGAAATTCTTTGTACCTGCTTCTCAATTTTGTTGTGAACCTAAAACTGCTCTAAGAAAATAAAGTTTAAAAAAAGAAAACCAAAAACTCAACCCAGCCATTACCATATTATACTCATTTTTCAGAGAGTGAAATGGAGACAGAGGTTAAGTGGCAGAACCAGGGCTTTTACCTCAATTTATTTGATTCCAAAGCTCGTAGTATTTCTAGTGTGTTGCACTGGAGTGACACTGACAGTACCCTGCCCATAACCTCTTGGTTCTCACTCTTCCCCTACATGCCTACAGCTTCCTACCATGAGCCCCTGTGTCTCTCCACCTTCTCAGACTGCAGAAGTGTGCCTGGCCCATTTGCTAGGTACGCTAGAAGGACCAGGAGTCCATGTCCCAGGGAGCAGCCCTTGATAATGATGGCAGGTATCTGCATAACTGTCCCAATCTCACCGAGTAAGAGAGACAGCAGGGCTGTGAACTGTGGTGCTGGCCATGGCTAAGATAAGGGCCCTAGCTGTCTGTGATAAGTAAGGTGTGACATGTCAGAGGAAGCATTTAGAAACTCTTAACAACAATTGCACAGAGACATTGCACAGAGATTTTCTGATCCTTAACAATTAAAAAGAGACTTGTATTTTTAATGTCTTTTTAAATATCATTTTTCTAGTGATTCATTTTTGTTGTATTTACACAAGGCTTTGTTTGTAGTGCTTTGGACATTTCTTTTTAAATGGTTCTTCACCATGAAAGTTTGAAAAACACCATACTACAGCCCTTGGGCTGTCTGTCTGGTTTTGTAAATAACGTTTTGTTGGAACACAGCCATTCCCATTCAGTTACATATTATATAGGGCTGCTTTTTCTCTCCAATGGCAGAATTGAGTCATTGTGGCAGATACTGTGTATCTCCCAAAGCCTAAAATATTCACTCTGCCCTTCAGAGGTACAGTTTGCCAACCCCTGTTCTGCTCTATCTCCCCCTAGTTCCCCAGCTGGACTGAACTCCAGGGACCCACAGTTGCTGCTGTTCCTTCCCTGTCTCATTTTCTC